TTTGAACCTTTCTTTCCCCCTTCAGCAACAAAAGCAAGTCACATCTTTTTGCAACTGCTTGGGGGATGCACCCGGGAAAGGAGTGATTTTTTTTTTCTCTTTGCACCCACACTTTCATTTGCAGCCACGAATGAGCACAGGATAGGATAGGAAATCGGGTTTGCAAAGGCTTTTAAAAATAAAAATAAGAAAGACTCTTTTTTTTTCTCTCGAAAAAATTGTGAGCCAAAGCAAACTTTGACCAAATGTCTGAAATAGGGAACTATGCAGGGTATAAATAATGCATCAACTATCTTGAGACCACAGTAAGTAGCCATGAGTAACACCTAAGTCAGGTTGGTATAAAATCTCCTTCTATTTTCCTTCTTCCAGGCGATAGTTTCCATAGCGTATGGGCACCTCTCGGACAAAGGTTTCTTTATGGGAATACTTGCAGAAAGTTGTTTCACCGGACTTCGGAGGTTGCTAACGAATTTACATTGCAGTCAAATAACTGTAGCTTTGTGTTGGGATGGGGGGAAGATCTTCTCTTCCCAATGGGGGAAAAGGAGGGGTAAAAATGGGCATGATTTATTGAGAAGAGTTCAAGTACAGGATTAACCTAAATCAAAAATATAACTTCCAATGTTTGCATAGAGCAGTCTAAAGCCAACTTTTGCAACGCCGAGTTTTTGATTTCGGCGCCAGCACTGCAATATATTCGGGCATGCAATGATTTTTCGCCTAAACCCTAAAATTCGTGTTAGTAACCCTAAAAAAATAAACCCCACACATTCCACAAGCCTTGATTTTTTTATGTCTGCCTGCTGAAAATGCTGTTAAACAGGGTAATTCGTTTCATTATATAGGGCAAATCAGTGTGCACCGCAAAAGGCGATGGGTTTGGTGAGGTAGTGGTGGATTTTATTATTATTAATATTATTTATTGCTCTTTGTTGTTCCTGGTGGATGGAATTTGGGTAACCTGAAATCTTTCACACGCAAAGGGCAGCGGTGGGGATGCCAGTCTGAACCTAGCACCCAACTAGGTGTATATTTCTATGTATAATTGGAGAAGAAGCACCAGGAGGGAAAGGCTCTGTGGTCGCCGATGACTTTTCTCCTGTCTCCTGCTGATTTACCAAACTAGTAACATTTCTTGCAGACAGGGCGATCGCATCTCACGTACATGGTCACACCGGAGTAAAACAAGACCTTTCCCCCTCTCAAGTTCGTCTGGATTTTTTTTTAAGAGGCCAAGTACAGATTTGATTTTACATATACATATATTTGCACTCCACGCTTTAAGCTTTTCCATTTGCCTCGCATTCACGGCTAGGAAATGTAGTAGATTCCGAAATGTTCTGGATGCCTAGAAGGGCTATGCCTTAAAGTCATTTGATTTATTTATTTATTTATTTTTAAAGGGGAGCCAAAAGGAATGCGAGACGCCAGCCCTCATTCGGTTTTATGGTAGTCACTTTGGTGGTCAAATTCAAGTGCTGTGACTCCACAGCTGTCTCTTCTGTGCTCCCTTGCAGGAAGCGGGCAAATCCTCTCCTTTAAACTGGGTTTAAAACACAAAACCACCCCGGGGCTTGTTTCAGATGCATTTACCTATGAGCAGCAATAAATTACTCATGCACCTAGGCGTCGGGTGTTATGCCACACATGCATTTTTTTTTCTTCCTGCTTATTCTTGGTGGGCTTTTCTGGGGGGAAAGTTGCTTTGTTTGGCGATTGAGGAGCCGCTCTGTTTGCAACACGCTCGGGTCCTCGCCTGGATGCAAAACTTGATTCTTGCAACCTTTGCTAGGGAATCTGCATTGAAATGGCTTTGAAAAAAAAATCCAACTCACGTTGAACACCCTTTCGCGTTTTAATCGTAGTTAGCATGTTCAGGTTGCAAGCAAGAGGGAATTGGATGGGGGTGAAAAAAAATAATCGCGCTCATAAACAATAGCTTAACATTATTAGTTTGTAGTTAGTATTAATATTGCTCCATAAAAAGCCAAGTGAAAAGATCGCTGACACTTTAATTAAAAGTTTTGCCCAAAACGACTTTCAAGCCGTAAACCAGGGCAGGCTGCAGCCCCGAGAAAAGCATCTCGTCCGGCAGAACCGCCTCGCCTCGATGTTCATCAGCCAACGGGTGCATTGGAGAGAAAAATCTGGGTTTCTTTTGGAATTAGCGACATATTTATATAGGTGGATGTATTTATCTCCGCACACTCGCATTCAGAGACACACGCAAGCCCCGATCCCTTATAAAAAGAGTTTTATGAGCGCGGCTCTCCTTAAATAGAAAACAAAGCTGGAGAAGGTGTGGGGGGGCGGACAAACCCATCCATAAATAAATATAAAAATAAATATATAAAAATAAATGCATCGCTGTGATGAGAGAAGAGGGTGGGAGGTGGGGGGAAAAGCTCAAGATGAGGAAGAGCAATGAGGAAGAACCTTTTAAGGGGAAGCCGCCATGTTTCCCCTCCAGGTTTCGGGGATAAATCCTTAGAAATCCGATCATCCTGCCTGATGAACACTACAGTTTTGAAAGCTCTCCTGCAATGTGCACTGTAATTTGCTTCTGTGATCTCTTAATACTCTGCTCTCGGCTCTGCTGCAAGATACGGAGTTGCCAGGCTGGTTTGTGTATACATATATATATATAAATAAACGTCTTTTTCTTCTTTTCCTGTGTATTGCTTCAGAATTGCAGGATATCCATGGCTCTATATATTTATCAGCGCCTATAAGCTTCGCGTGGTTGTGGGAGGTGCATTTTTCTCCGTTTATCTGGCCACCTCGCCCAGCGTTTGAAAACGGGGCAAACGGCAAACACAAACCCGCAGAAAATGCAAGCAAATCAAATGCACAGATTTATGCGAGGAGAAGGAAAGTGGAGATATGCAGAGATGCCCAGATCCAGGACTAGTCC